TTACTTGTAGATGATGATGGAGAATGAATTATTTCATTATTACTAGTTGATTCAATAGTTAAGTGTTTTATATGAGACGAAAGGTGTTTTTTAAAAGAATTTAATAAATGAAATGAACGATTACAATCTTTTTCAGCACAATAGTAAATAGAAAAGTTATGACTAAAATGTTTATATTGAAAATGTTTAATTAAAATTTGAATAGTTGAAAATGTTTGATTACAAATAAAGCATGATGCCTTTTGAAAAAAAATAAGGAATTAAATGTATGTATAATATTATATTACAATGAAAATAATTATATTTAAACCAAAATACCTACATCACTAATTAATGAATTAACAGTAACATATTCTGTATCCCATGAAGTTTTTAACTTGTAGAAACCTTTTTGAATAAAATACCAAACTGGTTTACTTTCAACTGGGTATTCTGCATGAAGAGCATGAATAATTTTAAAACAGCAGTCTACAGCAGCAATAATAGAATTTAAAAGATAATATGTATCATCAACTACGACAAAATACTGAGAAATATCACTTATAGTTGATCCGATGATAATAATTAAAGGTTGCAATGTTAAAGCTAATTGTGTATACTTTTGTTTTCTTCTTGATATTGTTTCTTGTAATTCTGCATGAGATCTCAAATGAAGAATAAAACCATCTCGCATCTCACTTTTTGAAGGTCTCCAATTACATTTGCCCCTTTTATTTTTAAAAGTAACAGGAGAAAACAAGAACGGTAGAACCAAGAACGCTGCCACTAAAGACAATTCTTCGTTTTCTGAAAATACAACAAAATCTTTAATATACAAAAATACAATATATATTAATAAGGAATACATACTTTGAGCTTGATCTAAGTACTAATTTAATACATTTTTGAGTGTTTGATCTCTAAGATTTGAAGAAGTACTTTCAGAAAGTTCTAAAATCTTGTCCTTATAAATCAGAAAGTTTTCAAATAATGTTTGTATTTTTTCAGGATATATAAAATTAAAGTCTGCAAGCAACTTCATAAATTTGAAACATAATTAATTTAAGATAATATTTAGTTAATTAATATTAAATTATATAGATAGGTATTGAATTTAATTTTAATGCTTAATACCTAAAATTGGATTATTAAGAAACATCTTATCAAAATATATTATTATTTTATACTCTTACTACTAGAACTAGAGCTTTTTCCGTGTTAAATAATAAAATAAAAATAACATTGTGGCAATGTATTTGATGGAAAATGTTAAATGACACTAAATGAGTAGATGCCCATAATTAAAATTTTAGGTATAAATAAAATACTTTTTTATTTATTTATCTGAATAAAATAAATGTACTAAATTTTTATCCAGATTTAACTCAACGCTGCTAATATAAAATTGTATATAAATAAAGATACATAAGTATTAAGTATGACTTACAAGATTATATCCCATGGGTTTTTTTAATGCTGGAAACTCATTCATATATTGACAGACTGTTTGAGTTTCTGTATTTAATAAATGTTGAAGTCTATAGTTTCTGGTAATACTCCAATATTTTTCAACTAAATCCCAGGGATCAGAAGAATTGTTTAACCATTTAATAGGTTCTTCAACATTTTCTAAATCTAGAACCAAAAGTTGAATATTTAATACATATATAAATACAAATTAATTAATATATATATATTAATTAATGAACACTAAATATATATATATATATATATATATATTTAGTGCTCACTACTAATTATTACCAGAGTTTATGGTGTTTAAGTTTAAAGAATGTTGTTCAATAGGTGAGGCTGATTGTCTAGAATGTGATGTTATGACACCAGATTTTTTATAATCTCTTCTGCGATTGTTAAAGCAGTCCAACAATTTTCCTTTTGCTGCTTTTTTTATTGTAGGTCCTAGGTATAATATAAAAAATAAAAACAAATTTTACTATAGTATCTTAGTATTATACTAAGATAATTAGACATTATTTAGAATTTAAAATTAAAATATAATTCTGATATAAAATAACTTGCCATAATTCATGTATGGAATGAAATAAGTGCTAATATGTTCTTTTGGAAAAATATTAGTGATTTCTTGTGACAGCAATAAAAGTTTCTGACTTGTAACTATTTTCTCTGGTTCGCTTTCAAGTTCTTTTCGTACAATCAAATTACACAACTGCCTTCTCCCAAAATTATCTAATAAGCCACTTTCTTTATACTTGAACAGAATAGCTTTTCCTTCATTTGAATTTTTCAAATAATTAAGTACATTCTGGCCTTAAAATACAAAATCATTATATTCAAATAATATAAATATTTAAATAAGATAGTTAATAATTACTTGGCAGTTTTGAAGAATGACATGTTACATCTACATTTGAGTGTTGAACATATATCTGATTTGAATTAGATGAATTAGATGTTTGTCTTAGTATCTATTGATTAACAGAAGAGTCAAGAGGTGTGATGGAAATATCTGAGTCTGATGGACTTAATATAAAACCTGTATCACTTCCTAATGATAAAGTAGTTGGTGATTCAACATCAAGATTCAAAGGAGAAGATATGTCCTATATCAAAATCAATAAAGCATTAATTTAAATCAAAAACATAACTGAATATTAAACCAATTATGCATAAATTAATATTATATAATGGAATCTAAATAAAACAAACTTTTATTTAACAAAACTCTCAATAAAACGAATTTAACGAAACATAATACTTTCCATTCAAAAATGTTCCCTTAAACAAAAAATCAAATTAATTCAGTATTATTGTTGACATTTCATCAAGGATTTTAGCACACCACTGTAAAAAATGTAACAGATTACTTCTTTAATTATTTTAATAATTGCAAGAATTTTTATAGTCAAAATGGTAAGATGATCAACAAGATATCAAAAAGTTTTTTGACAACAAAGAATAAAAAAAAAATATATAATTTACATATGTACCTACCTAAGTTCTTAATATAATTAGAATGTATTCGTTTAATTTATTTTTATTATACTCATACATTTCACTTATATAATTATTTGAATTTGCATAAATTGTGTACCCTAAAAATGAGTTCTTTAAATGAAAAAAAAACGTTTAAGTTTGTTAAATAGAGATTCCACTGTATATATATAATATTATCATAATAAATAATTAAATTATTTATAATGATTTTAATATTTCAAGTACAAAAGAGTAGAGAAACAGTACCTAATCTAATCTAACCAAACAAATATTTCTGTATCTCCTCAAATCCTATAGAAGCTTAAAATATAGGTATCTATAAAGAAATATTTATTAAATCACATGTTAAATTATAAAATTAAAATGTTAAGAAAAATATGTTTGAACAATCACCCTGTATCAACCTAATTAATTGAAATAATTACAATATAAGATTCTGTGCTCACCATCATAAATGTAGTTTGAGTATCATTGGTTAAATCTAGTACTTTTCTCCATTCATCTACATTTGCTTTAAGTTTTGCTCTATGACCGATTTTAGGAACAAGTTCTTTCATCATATCTTCAGTTAAAATGTTCAAACAAGTAATGTCTTTGCCTTCATCTAACAGTAGAGAAATTTGAGTATAATATAGAGGAACAAAATACCTATGTTTATTCTTTTAACTAACATTACCAATCATAAAACATTAGTTTTAAACTCAGCTGCATTAATTCTTAATTAACTGTTTTGTATCTAAATTATATATCTATCATTGTATGACAGGTAAAATACAGAATATATTCCGTATAAATAAATATTTTTTAAGTATTATATAATTTTATATTATATAATTACATATTTTGAATGAATTTTAGATACATATTACATAGGTAGATACTTACTTTGAAAAACATCAATATATTGTTCCAGGTCCCAAGCTCTCAACATCAGCATCGGCCATAATAATATTTATAATAATATAAAAATTAAAAAAGAAAAAAACAATAAAGAAATGTATCACACAATTCGTAAGTTGTAATAATGATTAATAACAAATTAACAAATGTCAGACACGCGCGTCGCAAATAAAATGTAAAATATAAATTTTATTGTTGAAAGTTGGAACACGCGGTCAGTGTACGACCTACGCAAATAACAACAGTAAACAGGAAGGTCTATGACGTTGCAACTTGGAAGCAGCGGCATGGATTTATTTTTCCTATCTTTACAATACGCTTGGGTAATACCATTGATTATAGAATAGAATAGAACTATTCTATAATCAATGGTAATACCTACAAGAACCGCTGTACAGATTACGTACTGTTTAGCTATTTTTACCGAAAACTTGTTTTTCCTACAAAATTGTCTCTGAAATCAGCCGTTCACACTAATAAACACCACCAAACAAGAATAGTATCCATTACACATATTGTGTAACATAGCAATTTGAAATTAACAAAAATACTTTTGTACTGTTTACAAATCCAATGCTTCTTTAACAAAAATGTGTTTGTACCCAAAATATATCAGAACTTATATTGTAACTATATCAAATAGATTTTGTATTTATTACTAAAAAGTGGGTGGACCTAAATATTAGACCATTGCAACTACTAAATATCTTTCAACCAAATAATTCGGTAAATTATTTTTTTCCGTGTACGTGAAGTTGGCCCACCCTTCTGTTTTTTAATTATAACTCGCAAACGGCTTGCTCGCAAATTCTCACAAATAACTCGCAAAATATTGGTATAGGTTTTAAGTTAATCCGTGAAAAAGGGTGGGCCAACTTCACGTACGTAAACATATACAACTGCTAATGTAATGTAAATTAAATGTAGTTGGTTTCCGAGAATCCGGCGTATCCGAACGAATTTTCGTTATCGAATATCTTTGTTAGCATTTGCGATCAATTTATTTAAAAGTCATTAGTGTTTTTGACGACCCATGTATGCGATAAGGAATTAGTTATTATTCTATTTGTCGATTAGAGTACATAGGAAAGGGGGGTAAACGAGTGGTATTTATTTTAATTGTACTAATGTAATTTTAAATATGTTTCAAGTTCTAACTGTATACATTATTCAATCAGTGCCTTGGGCCTACGGATGGCTTAATCCGACCCTGAGTACTATATAGTATTTATAATCGATGCTAATACCTTGTATTCTAAACTTGACGCTTTCAACAGTTTCAGCCACGATTATCATTTATCAAATGTCATTGATTAGGTACTTCATTACTTTATTGAATATTAAAATTAAACATTGCGATCAGCACATGCTCAACCAAGACCACCCACTCCCTTAACATTGGTGGTCCAGTGCACCAAAAACAGTATACTCAAACCGCCTCTGACATTATCTGTGCTTATTATATGTATATATGTATGTATAATAAATAATAAATATAGTTTATATTTGAATATTTAAAATTTAAGTACCTACCGATTCATCAAACTTAAAAATAATAGTCTGCAATAACTATAAATATTTAAAAAAAATGTGTAATCAAATCTTCAATATGAATAAAACTATAAAAGAGTAAGTAGGTACCTAATTTTTATTTTTATTTGATTAATTTTTAAATACAATTGTTATAAGACACGTAAATATTGTGTACGTGTCCACTTTCACATAATAAATGTTAAAGAAAAATCGTCACGTTTGTATAAGGAAATGTCCTTAGAAATTAAGTACGTTTTTAAAATGTAAATACAACTATTAACACAATAACCTACTCCAATAAAATGTCGTTCCCAAAATAATAATAATTCAAGAGTGCAACATCACATTTTCATGATGCAGTCCAGGGCGCGTACAAATGGCTAATTATCAAATGTAGAAATCCGATGGCCACAGGATATACGTGACGTCCGGGACGATTTCATACCAAACAGCAGTGTCTTAGCAGTCACAGGACCAGCATAAATATCGAAGGGCGAGAGACAAGAGACCAGTTAGATTCCACAGCTCAAGTCACCCACACATCACCATTGGAGATTCCACGGACTCTGTCCGTATGTACATTGCCTGACCGTTAAGACTTACGAGTTTATCGCTCCGAGCCCTCTGACGCATATAGGTGTGCACAAGGAATCTCCACTCCGTACATTTTATAACTTATCTATGTTATTGTGATTTCTCTTAACTTAAATAAATATCTATTTTATTTATCAACAATATTGTACGATTCATTTGAACACGTGGGTTGCAACACAATGTAAATGTTTTATTAATTAAAAAGTAAGTAAAAAATCATTACCCAATCATTGTTATTATAAAAAGTGTATACAACTTAATTGGAGAATATTAGTTATATGAAAAAACTTATAAATACAAAAATTTATTTGTAATTTCTATGATGGTGGAGGGGTGACCGGGGTGGGTGTCTATATATTGTCTTGCACCACTAAGTACAATATATTCAAACCGCCTCTGGTAATAGAAATAGTATACATAATAAACAATCAGTGAAGGTAATAATTACGAAATTTTCTGTTAGTGAAGTTTTTACAATAAATTGCTGTTAATTACGATTACGTACTTATTTTTTAATAATTATAATATTGTTATAAAATAGTATTATTAAGGTAAAGTTAAAATCATATGACATAATTTGTGTAGTAAATAACAGTAGTAAAATAATTATAATATTATATTATATTCATACGGGTATAGTGTAGCCTATTTTTTTTCTTCATTTTTGCTTCCAAAATATAAGTAGGGTTTCTTATTGGCATACTTCTGGAATGTCTGGGATCAACCAATTCAGGAAGATGGCAATTGAAGAAAAACATTTCTAGTTTTGGAAACATTTTGTTATCCCAAAATATATCATCTTGTTCAATCGTTTCATGCTTTATACCTTTATTTGTCCAATATGCTATTATACCAAATCTTCTTCCAGTGACGTGTAGTTGTCCTTGTACTTGGTAGTAATATTTATGGTTGGTATTAATTCCTATATTATCTTTGTTTTTATCAATTTTCCATAGAGTAATTTTTCTTTGAATTATACTTTCTTCGGGCGTTATATTTGCTGCTGATAAAGGACATTTAATTTGTAGCTGTAGATACACGGTCTTGGTATGATCTATTAATGACAAAATTAACTCTTTTTCCACCAATTAATTTAGCGATAATACCGTTCAGCGATTCAACAACATTGCTGTCAACGTTGTGCATTGGACTACGACTATGTCTAGCCAAATAACGATCAGGCTGCATTAAATTATAATAAAATAGTGAACCTGTAGCTTTAATTTTTTCTAAATAATTAATCGTATTTACTTTGTTGCAAAAATAAGACGGACATTTAGTATGTTGTCCAAAAATGTGGTATATTTACAATTCTTCTACCAGTTAGATTGATTTCCATCGAATTATTTTTTTCTGTCCTAGTATAAGCTTCATCAACAACTCTGATTGGTGATAAACTAGTTACTGAATTCTTAAGTAATGATGAAGTGGACGGTGTTTGGACAATATTAGGAGATGACGTAACCAACACTTTTTTATTACAGCTTATATACGAATTTTCATCGAGTTCGCAATTTTATGGTAAAGCTAAATTCATATCACTTGAAGAAAGAGGATAAGAAATGTTCACATGTGACCTATTGTCTTCGGTACTTACAATAATCAATGACTCAGAAGGGATTCTTTTTTTGCAAATAATAAAATAAAATAATAGTAATAATATTTTTTAATATTTATATTAATATTTTAAAAACTTACTGTGTTTCATCTCTATTATTTATATTATTTTGGTTCATATTGTGGCCTCTTATTCCCTTTATGAAACCTTGATGTTTTTTTCTTTTAGATAGAAGAACTTTGGTTTTCATTTTAAATTTGGATTACAAACTAACACACCAATTACAATAACTAAATAGCCTTTACGGAAAGAAAGCTGAATAATGAATGAATAATCAATTCAAAATTGAAATACAGAACGATAATACAATATAAAAACATCTAATGTAGATATATAGTTTTATTATCAGGGCGCGGAAATATAAGTAATTGCTAACATTATTATAGGATACCACGAAATAAAGTTTATAACTACCATTGATTAAATATACATAGATAGCCCATACAATGATAATATATGGAAGCTTTCAATAACCGACCGGGAGAGCCAGAAATCTAGTAGTATGGGAGCTAGACATCAGAGTGCGCTACTTTTGTGGTTCAGTGGTCATATTATACGGCTTTAATACCAGGAGTTCCGATTTCGAATTCCTGCAAAGTACAACACATTTTTTTTCTTTTATTTATCTTTACAATACGACTATTGACTAAGTATATTTTAAGAATTTATTCATATTGATATAAATTAAACATGGCTGAGCATTTTTTAATTAATATATGATCATTTTAGTTGTTACCTATAACAAAATTGCTAGACAATTTTCGAAAAAAGGTTATATGTTGTATTAACGACATAATTCAAAATTGCAAATATGTAAATTTAACGCAATGAGTGAATTAAGTATGATAATATAATTGAACAATTTATAAATTTAGTGTATAAAATATGAACAAGGTGTTATTCATGATATATCTTAAAATAGATTTTTAATATTGCCATTGGTTAATTCATATTTAGTCTATTAAAACGATGATATAACTATTTATGAATATTATGTGCTGTATATGTGTTATAAATGGGTATTAACTCGTTATCACAGTATATAAATAGTTTTCAAATATACTATTTATTTTTAACAAAACAAACATTTAAAACGTTTTATTTTGTAATACTGATCAATACGTGTTAAACGTTGCTCTTAAGTACGTAAAATTTAATAATTATATTTACATTATCTATACTATACTTTTATTTAAAATTGTTATTGTCTTAAATTTATGATTTATTACCAAGATTTTAGATCTGTTCCAACCTGTGTTTACTTTTGTTTTAATTTTTGATTATAAAATAGTGTATCTATGTGTTTGTAAATTTGTAAAAGTGTAAAATCACAGCCTTTTTAAAATTTATTATCAATAATTTTAGATGGATATGTAAGTTTTTAAGTTGTTTTGTTTAAAATAAAAATATTTTGCTAGATCCTAAATCAATTATGGTACCTATATTCTCATTGATTAAATATAAAATAAATCAATAATGTTCCTTAGTGTGCTTGAGTTGCTTTTGAAAAATTATTATTTGAAAAAAATAATTATTTTACTTAATATTAACATTTTAAACTTAACTTTAT